TTAGTATGTGTGTCTGTGTGTTGTTGTTTTTGTTCATCTGTGTATCTGTATGTGTTTCAGTGTGTGTCAGTGTATCTGCATGTGTCAATGTGTACACTTGTGTGTCCGTATATCTGTCTATGTGGGCACCTGTGTGTCTGTGTATCTGGCTGTGTGTCAGTGTGTGTCTGTGTATCTTCATGTGTGTCTGTGTTTGTATATGTGTATCGGTGTGTGTGTCAGTTTATATGTATATATACATAAATACACCCCTGCATTCAAATATCAACACTACATACAGACACACCCCTAAATTTAAAAATAAACACTATACACAATTAAACCACTGCTTTTAAATGGAAACAGTACATAAATACAAACACACACTACATACTGTATGTATGTCCGTGTATGTCAGTGTATCTATCTGTGTGGCTGTGTGGCAGTCTATCTGCCTGTGTTCCTGTATGTGTACCTTTGTGTCTGTTTGTATGTCAGCGTATCTGTCTGTGTGTATGTCTATGGATCTCTTTGTTTGTTAGTATGTGTATCTGTGTATCTCCTGGTGTGTAAGTGTGTTTTTTTGTGAGTTTGTGTATCTGTGTGTGTGTATCTGTGTGTGTGTCTGTGTGTGTGTCTGTGTTTCTGCATGTGTCAATGTGTGCACTATGTCTCTGTATATCTGTCTATGTGTGCACCTGTGTCAGTGTAGAGTAGCATTCATAGTCTGTATATCTTCATGTGTGTCTGTGTGTGTATATGTGTATCAGTGTGTGTGTCAGTTTATACGTATATGTGCATACATAAATACACCCTGCATTCAAATATCAACACTACATACAGACACACCCCTAAATTCAAAAGCAAACACCACACAATACACCCCCTACATTTACCCACACATACTCATAAATATACATGCTTACATTCAAACACACAACACTGCTCAGTGCTAAATAAAATCCTTCAAGGATGGGAAAATGGTATATCCCTAGCTGGCAAAGCATTGTCAGAGTTGTATGACAGATGAGGATCTATATTTTGGCCATCCTTGCAATGAGGGAGAGGCAAAAAAAAATTATTCCCCTGTACCTTCTGTCAATGGTACACACAGAATGGAGAAAGAGCCAGCCCCCATACTCAGGGTGGAAAAATTGCAGGAAAGCCTATCACTAACTTAGTAGGAGAAACAGAGGACTCTGGGTTAACTCATAATTTGGGGAGATGGTAATTTATCTGAACCTCTTTGCAGAAATAAGCTTATCCTATGAATGCTACTCTTTTTTCCATAAGGGGAGCAATGGACCATTCCATTTAGTTATTCAAGCTCCTGTGAATCTTACAGTATAGCTAGTCTAGTTTGTAGGAGAGAGTGTTTGAAAACTAATAGCTCATCCTCAGCCAATAATGATTTCAACCATTTTTATATTTTAAATCTTATATAGCATTAGCATGTGACACATCAATCATCACCAGAAATAAAACACAGCAAGTTTTACCATGATTTGTGCTCTGATCTTCTACTAATTTCACAAATAATTAGAAGCTTTTCTTATTGAAAAAGAGTGTAACAGCCAATTACTCAAATTCCAGGACTAATATGACAACATTTCAAAATAAACAAAACATTTCTACAATATGTTGTGAGTGGTTTCCAATATTTTCCTACCTCTTATATATGACATTGAAGACTGTTAATAAATGTACATTCTTCATGGGCCGGTATTCCAATCTAGCAATGGGTCCATGTTGCTATGATTCTGTTTCTACCAATAATATAAACAGCAAAGTTGCCCAACTCAATGTTCTTTCTCAAAATAATGAAACACTTAGTTGATACTGCTAGGAATTGAACATGTGACTCTAACGTTTGAATAAGCATTGGCAGTTCTAAATCTGGAGCAAAAACCACTAACGTTACACTTGTATGTGCTCAACAAGAAAATATTAATTTTTGAATAACTTTCAAGTACCCTCCTTAATAGTAAAACAAAATAATTGTCTTCTCTTGTGTATTGCTAAATGGCATCTATATAAAATCCTACACATAAGAATACTTAGTATTATTATCAAAAGCGACATCAATGCAAGCCTACGTTAAATATATATAATACCAAAATAATATTGACAAGTTAACAAAGAAAAAAATAGTAGAGACAGTAGTTCCTTTTCATCTCCGTTTGATAGAATATGCAGACAGGAAAACATGTAATTTGAAGCTCACGCATCCTCTATAATTTGCATAAATCAATACACAAAAGTAAATGTACCAGTGGTCTTGGGGGGGTAGGGGGAGTAAGATGTAATAAACAATATATGCCCATGACAAATTGCTTACCACTTGTAATTCTGTAGAAGCAAAAGGAGCTAAAAAGAGATAATGTAATTACTGTAAAAAAAACATTATACTGGGTTAGCCTTTGGAAATCCGAGAATTAATCAGATAAAGTACGTAATAAACCATAGCTTGCGATAATATACTGTAAACGCATAGATTTTAAATTCGATGGATGGATGGATATGGGTGGGTGGGTGGATGGATGGATGGATTGATGGAGGATGGGAGGGTTAGGGAATTAACAGACCGACAAGTGAGATAGATGGATAGATAGATAGATAGATAGATAGATAGATAGATAGATAGCTCTAGCATGTAAGCTCATTGATTAGGGCCCTCAATCCCTCTCTTCCTGTGTGTCCAACTTGTCTGGTTACAAATATGTAGAATAAATAACGGTTCAGGCTCTCCGGGATAACATAAAATAGCAGCTTTATTGGGGCAAAAACAGCAATGTTTCGACCCTCCGGGGTCTTTATCAAGCTATACCGTTATTTATTCTGCTTATCTTGGGAGGGAGGCATGGCCAGCCCTGGTTTCAGAGCGCCTGGGTTAATTGGTGAGTGTGGTATCCAGTCCATCTCTACTGGTTACAAACATGTGTCTGTTAGTCCACCCATTGTACAGCGCTGCGGAATTTGTTGGCGCTTTATGAATAATAATAAAAAATAATAATAGATCAAAATGATGTCTGAAAATAGCATGACATCATCACAAGTGCCTAAACCCTGAATGAGTATTTTAAGTGAAAATTAAGATGAGCTTGAAATTGTCATGGATAATGTGAGAATTTACCCCTCCCATCCATTATGTGACAGAAAATATGAGCAATGATAATAAGAGCAATAAAATAATCTTACAATAAATATTATAAAAAAATGATAGAAATATAAATAAGGACAATAAGAATAATGAAATAATCTTACAAGAAATATTATAAACACACACGACATAGTCACACAAGCTGTTTGACAGTTGATATTTAACAATATAAAACAATCAACAACGTTTAATTTATTTTCACAGAAATTGAATTCAATTAATCTTTATTTGCTAGCTAATAATCTAATATTCAGTCTGACATGGCCACTCTAAATGTACATGCCATCAGAAGGACACTGTGATGCATTTTCATTACAAGAAGGGCCCAGCCCTATTGCAGTCTCATATTAAAATTCAGATCTTGATTTAAATACCTTTCACTCTGGTTAATAGTTGTAAATAAATAATAAATAAACCAAATGTGAATTTAGGCCAGATAGTGTTATATATATATATTCACATTGTCATTTTTTTTGTAATCTGCAGAGCATGCATTTTTATTGTAATCCCAATGACTCACATCTAGCACTATCAAACCATCTGATAGTAGGTCACACTGTCTGATAACTCCCTGCTCTAATAGCATCTGCCTGCAGTCCCTGAAGTACAGAACCACAGAGAGAGCAATGCAGATTCACAGCTCCCAGCACAGGAGCCAGGGGGATCTGGGAGGGGCTCCAACCCTCCTTCCTTCATTTGGCTCTCACACATGGCAGTGTTAATCCCCTGAACAGGTCATGGTAAACAAGATAAAATCAAAATGCTCACTACCCTTTTTTTAATCAATGTTAATTAAATCTGCATGGGAGCATTATCAACTGTGTGCTTTCTAAATGGCACTCCACAAAGCAAGGCAGATTACTCTTACTGAGCATAAATAATGCTAGGAAATTAAAAATGATCCCTGGTGTGGTTAGGTAACAATTTACTTGCTTAAAGCTTTTTAGCTTTTTAAATGTTGAAATCACTTTCTAACCCCATCCTGACTGCGCATGTGCAAGGGTGTGGTCAGAAATCAAAGCAAGGAGCCTTCAGACAAATGATAGCAGCAATACACAGATCCTATGTAACATTCTAAATGCTGCTGTGCTACACACACAAAGGATGACAGTGTGATAGCTGTGTTAAAAGGAAGAATGTATCATTTATATAATAACCCAAGGCTGGATTACATGAGGCTTTGGATGAATGTATTCTTTAATTATAGAAATGTGAAGAGCAAGGAGAGGTTAATATCACTGCCTCTCAGCCCATCATGGCTAAATGAAAAGCAAATTGGCTTCCTGGTGATAGGTTACTGGCTAAGCACACAAAGACTGTTATAAAGATTGTAAGTTAGGTATTGTCTTACATTGTGTATGCACACTGCAGCATTATGTGTGTGTGTGTGTCATGTCTGTATATTGGATGTTTCAATTATATTTAGCAATGATTAGGCAGTGCAATGAGTCCAGGCGTGTGTCTGCATTTACAGCAAGCATTCAGCACCTTGGACAGCTCTGCTAGGTTTCTAAGGTCATAGAAGAGAGCTGAGGCAGGTTATGGTATATGGATCTGTAAAGATTCAGGGAAATGGCTGTCATAGGGCGATTTAAGGGTGTTTTTGCATCCATTGCTATGTAACACAAAGAGTTATTGGTTACTGTAATCATTTATCCATAACCAGAATAATTCACCATCAGGTTTGTCCTGATGGTAAACGGTGACAAAGTAACATCCTACATCAATTTCAACATTCTTTTTGGATATAATGCATTCTAGGTGGACTGTACTACCTGAAGAGAAAGGGGGTGGGTGTTCTTCAAAATATTCCCAAAGCAAGCTGCATCATTCCATTTTATTTCTAAACCCTATTGGCAGATCAATATTTAATGCTTAGAGATTGTAGCTCCAAATGAGTCATATCAGGGGACTGCTGGAACCAATCTGCTTCTGCACAGGGCTGCTAATTATTCATGGGCTCCTGCCTCTAGCTCTTTCTTGTGCACAGCCCCTCTCTGCTGACTCAGTGCCTTATTTAGTCTGCCTCTCCACAGCTCTAGCCGGACCCTTTGCATTCACAGCCTCTCAGCCTCTGCATCCAACACCCTCACCATGGCTAAAACAGCAATAGGTAAGGACACCACTATATGACTATAGCTTCTTAAATCTACTAGATGGCAGGAAAAGGGATTCAGGAAGAATGTTTCTAGAAAAGGCTTGTTTAAACAATACAATAGCTGAGAAGGGATGGGACCTGCCTAAGAGATCTCCAATATATGGATCCTTTAAGTAACCTCTTCAGAATATATATGTGAATATATATATATATATACACGCGCACACAGACATATATATATAAATATGAAAAAAAAAATATATATATACCGTTAATTTATAAATACTGTATAGAACTGTGCGTGGAACTGTTGAAAATACATATTTCTATTTTTCTATTTTTCTAAAGAAATTATTGCAATATTTGCAGTAGGGATGCAGTCTGCTAGCATATTGCATACAATGACACCTCCAGTATAAAATGGCTTAGATTGATTTAGGCTGGTGAGCCAGACACGCCCAATGTATACATGTATAACTTTATATACAGTATTTTCCTAAAAATTTCATTAGAATGTCAGATCACTCAGTGTATATTGGCTTTAATCTTTGATGTACAGCTAGACTGTCTTTGCTAAATTAAGGGATACATTGAGAGAATATACAAAGGATGTTCCCCCCCCCCCCCCCCTTTCCCATCCCCATGTCTATAAGCCAAATGCTACAGCACAATGCAGAGAGACCCCACCCATGTGCTTCTCTCTTGTTCACAGTCAGTTCAATAGGAAGCTGCCCCCTCACCTCCCTAACATTCTGTGTTCTCTCTGTTATATTAGAGGGTGAACACCTAGTTCGTGTTGCTACATTTTGATTGATTTTGGCCATATTTTATGCAAAGACATTTTGCAAAGCCAGTTCCATTTTCTAAATCAACCTGGTTGCTATTAAATTTGAAAAGCAATCAACATAAATTCTACATTGGGTTGACTTGATCTTTTATTTTCATGTTTTGAATTTTTTTTTCTTCAAATTTTTCAGAGGAATCATAATAATATGCATCACACACAAAAAAACTAATTTCACTGTGTTTGAGATGTTTTCATATTTTTTTATTGTATCAGTTTTTTTATGGAACATACACAGTAGTCATGTCATACAATTAAACATTAACCCCCTCCCCCCCAGATCAACTGTGATTATTTGTCTCACAGTACCATGTTTTTTGCTTTTAAAATCTTTATTTATATATTGTATTTTATTTACTTGAGTCTTCAAACCAAAAAAGGCAGATGAACGGCAGATAGACTTTATGAATTATTATATGTTTTCATACATAAGAAATATTAAAGAACATATATATGACATATATGAATATCGGTTTTTTTAGAGACAATGTAATTTTTTTATATTACAGTATAGCCAAGCAATAAAAACAACCTACAACCTTGGAAATCCATTGAAAGGACTGAAAGAGATAATTTTAGGCATTTCACCATTAGCTTGGAATTCTAGAATCCATTAATGCCATTTTAAGATCATGTCTTGCAATATAAAGATACTTATGAAATCCATCAACTGTGAATGATAACGAAATTGTCAGGATAATGCATTTATAATCACATAGAACATATTTCATTGGCAAAAGGCAAGATAACAAGTGATAATGCTATATTTTTTTTTTTTTTGCCTGACTGATAGCCCTTAGAGGTTGCCAGTGGATGGGAGAGGCCACTATGACAGCTATATATGTAAATTAACGAAACCTGGAGCTTTGGGAGAAAAGCCAGCCCTGCAGTGCCAAACATATCATCTCCTCCCTATTGCAGCAGTCTGATTATCACTATTGATAATTTGTAGCATATTGGGGAGTGATCACTACAAAAAGGCCACAATCCTAAACAATGACATTGTGTAAATTACATTATATGGTCAGGGAATTTATGTAGGAATAATCATGCATTTATCTATATAGTGCATAGAGCTGCTTTCGTTCATTTCATTTAACCATGGAATAGTGACAACAAGTCTATTTTTAAGAATTCTGTTATAAATTTACGACATATTGCTTATTATAATATTATATACATAATAAAATATATCACAATTTATTAAGCAACGTTTTAATATTAAATGTTATATGAAATTAGCTGTTTTAGAGGTGTATATTTTTATTTGATTTTTTGAAATGCATATTAAAGTTTGTTTAGAACACACAAGAACATGTTTTTCAAGTTGTTCCAGACAAAGGATCGATGTTCCATAACGAAAGGCTTAAATCCATTGCAGATTGGATTTCAGTTTTATGCTAATGTTTGGTTATTGACATTCCATGGATTTTACAAAAAATTGGATTTGCATTTTTGCTCTTGGGAGTGTAACAGATTGATCTTCATCAGTATACCAGAAAAGGGCTGGGTAAAATACTGCCACCTAGGGATCAAGAGAGAAACAACATTTTTTAAAGGCACTAGAGTAGGACTTGAATCCGCAAGACTTGGATAAACTGCAATATTAATTATTTTAAGGGGCCTGTGCCCAATTCAGAAGGTAAAACAAAAAAACTTAAGCTTGAACCAATAATAATTCTTATCTACACAAAAGAACACAATTCAAACAAATTTTTTTATGCTTCTCAAAATTTATTTCCTATCAGAATCTCAATATACATGAATATAAACTACACGTTTTACTGAATACATGTATTATACTTATTAAACACGTGTTGCTTTTTACCTTTGCAGCCATACGGTATGGGCTAACAATATTATTTGATTGGAAACTAGCAACATCAAAACAGATTAGCATTAAAGTACAGCAGATAATAGCACGAAACAATAGCAGAAACAATCTTAAATAATTGAGGAAACCTAGCTATTTAAACCAATGTTTTTCAGTTTGTCAATGTGAATATACTAGGATAGTTTATATTAGCAGTTCTAAGGGACCGACACTGTAGGAAGATACGTGTTATATGGTCATTTCAGAACACGTTAAACGATGACCGAAGAAAATGCATGCAAAGTTGTTTAATAAGAACCTCATTGAGTTGGAACTTTAGGTCCATCTAAAATGACAGACCTATTGCTGAATTAAACCAATACGAGAAAGACCTACCGAAATGTTAACATTTACAAGGCCTTTTTCTAAAGTGGGATAGCAAAGTGAGTTTCAAATTTAAGATTAGAATAGGCACATTTAAAAAAAAAAATCTCTAAATCAGCATGCTTTCAGTTTGGCAACTCTGGATTTAAATTTACATTTTCCTTTGAATTTTCATTTTAGTAAATTGCCCTGTTAATTCTAAAATTTCAGGATTTTAAGTAAAAATATATATTTTTTTTCTTAATGCGAGCAATTTGTTAGTACAGGGATGTTGCAGAGAAATAGAAGTAATCCACACTAATTAATCCTGAAAAGCTTTTTTATTATTATTATTTGAGTATATGAATAATTAAAACAGTGATGCTGGCAATAGTTAAGACCCTTTCCTTCCTTTAGTTTGTGATCTATTTAATGCTCCACTGCCCCAAGATTTTCCATCCTTCCTTTATACATTTTCCTTTCCTGGGCAATGACAAAGGACCATACGGTTGGCCACGTGTCTTTCCAGGGTGTGTCTGCTCTGTTACAATAATGTATTAGGATTATTCTAAAACTTGCTTTCTACATTAAAAATGCTCATTTTTGAAAAGGTAGAATTTTATTTTACAAATTCATTGGAATTTTTCCTAATACATACCTCATGATTAATATGGAACATCTGGAACTCCAGTTGCATAATAATAGGTCTCATGTGATGTTCAGCAAGCCTTCTGTGAACTGTAGACCTCATTATACAGAAACAGAAATTCTAGACGTTAGCAGTGCACATTTTACATTTTGCAGTTAGACAATGAGGTTGGAAATGAAAGAGAAAAAGTGACAGTGCATTGACAGGTAGCCTAATGAAGACAGTAAGCCAAGAAGAGAAACATTATATCTGCCAATTATTAATATCTTGCTATCGTATCTAATTATGACAGTAATATATTGCTTGTTAGCTGCATTACAACTAACATTTAATATTTCTATCTGTCTTCTCCGACTTACATGCTTGGAGACATACTACATACATCATAAAACCAGATAGAACAGGACTAATCTTCTAGACACACTCCTTCTACATTCATTAGCAGGTTCTGTTCTACACAATAGTATTCATCAGCCTTACTTCGAAAGCCACCACTATAGTATCTTAATAATGGGCAACACCCTCCCTAGTCTTAGCTGCCATATGCTTTTCTAGCCTGTCTCTACTTTTAAAGACCCTCTTTTCTGGAGGTTATCTGGATATGTAACATAAATATCCCATTTAGATATATATCCTTCTAGCTCTTAATCACACTAGCTTATTGCACTAGCTGTCATCATGACATATTGTTTGGGCCTCCTAGACATGGTGCGTGACAATCTTTTTTTCTTTTCCAGTTTACCACTTTCAAGTTTACATTTGAACGTGCACCTTTCAGCATCCTTGCAAAAGGCCGTACACCAGGGGTGCCAAATATTAGTTCCCCAGATGTTGTAAAACTACAACTCCCATGGTGCTTTGCATGCATTTAGAATGCCTTTAGAATGACAAAGCATCATGAAAGGCATAGTTTAAAACATCTAGAGATCTAGCTTTTGGGAACCTATATGTACACCATCATAACAATATTCACAGCTGTGGCTCAATGGATTTCTAATGGTATTTTAGATATGTAGATTTCAAAAGGTTCACCACTTATGAGTTTGTTTTTTCCAGAAGGATTTTACATGTTTGGAACAGATGGCTAATACAGTGTGACTCCCCACTGAAAATTCCCCACAATTAAAACCTACTTTTAAACACTTTTCAAACTACTTATGTCCTAAATCCATAGGGATAATTCTTCCAACCAAGACAAGTGCTTCATTGTCAGATTCAGCCTTGAAAAATTAAGAATGAACAAAAAATTATATCCAGCACACATCAATAAGTGAAACACAATTGCAAATTTATTGACGTCCCAAATCCAAACTGAACAATGTTTCAACCTAACAATAATTTTTTCCAGGGGGAATAAAAAGTCACACTTATTTTGGGCAGAATCTAGAGTAAACATTTTGACAGAGGTCATACATTTCCTGTTAATTTTACAGTGGATTGATGGGAGCTAATTTGATCAAGTGTGAATTCGCAGATTCTGGTTGGCTACTGGCATTACAAGCCCTCAACAGTATATATTTTTTTTTTTTACTTATATTGATAGGTATTATGGTGTTTAAAAATTGTGATGCAATTAGATGATGGCCACCTCAACAAAAAAAATGACAATAGTAATTAGAGTTGCATCCCTATAGGTTAGTACATATTATGAAAGATGCTTAGCCTGCATAATCTGTGCATTGTGGAAGATAATTGATATCATCAGGCTTAGTCACTGAAGTGAGCATTACTGGGATATTCAAAATGAATTAAAAGTGTATTTCACATTTTAGACCAAAATAGCCAAACTGGAGCCATAGGTGACAGATATTTTTTACTAATTCAGCTATTTTGTCTTTAAATTTGAAATTAACTTTGGATTCCAGGCATTCTCATTTTAGTAAATAATGCTGTATAAGTGCTTTGCTTTAATATTACCAAATTTGTTCCTTCTCTTGGTCATCTACATTGACTTTTTTTGTTTATATATTACATAAGGCCAACTTATTACACCAAGTCTGATTGTCATATAAGGCTTGAATACATGTCTAAAATTAACTGAATGAAGGACAACATGGATAGTGATTATGGTGGAGTTGCAGGTTGGAACGTGGTACGTGGCCACCAATTGTAAAGTGTATTGTGCCCAACTATTAAAGAAGTAATAAAAGCACTACCTACCAAGCTGTCACCGTAGCTCCATTGGGACACAAGCCTATTGAGGAAGAGGTGGGCAAGCCTTGATCTGCTTGAGGCAGATCCCAATTGAGTCTCTACACACTGCTTTTAGTCTGCCCCTCACTTGTCTCTATTTGGGAGATGCTTGGTCATATTTTTCATATTTTCGTATTTCATGTTGTAGATACCTAGACCTTGTATAAATGCACCTGAATTTCTTGGCTGTGTACTCTAGATCCTGGTGTTTTATTTCAATGTGTTTTGTTATACCTCCTTGATGCGTTAATTTGTGGTCTGTTTATTGTGGACAATACCCCTCTTCTATATATGCTTTATTCTCAGTAAGTGGTCGATGATTTCTAGATATTCTATTGGAAGGTTTCTAAAACCAACATTGAGGAGAAAAAATATGTACTTTGTTTCATACATACAAAGTTATGTCTGAACATTTTCCTAATCTAGCTAAGCATTGCTGTTAGCCCATTAATTTTGACTTACTGTGTTATCCTTTGGAATATTTTAATATAGATAAATTGTAGCAAATGTAGAAAATAATGAAACTTGCAATTACAACTTACTGTTCTAAATTAGAACAATGTGGAACAAAAAGAACATATATTCCATGTACATAAAATCTCTCACACAGGGGTTATTTACTAACGTTTACAGTAAATTCAAAGTGAATTTCACATTTTAGACCAAAGTATCCAAAATTGAAGCACAGCTGACTTGGAGAATGTTTCCAAATTGGCTATTTTGACCTTCATTACTAAATTCACTTTGAATTCCTGAAAAGTCTCACTAAATAACCCCAATTATGTCATCAATTAAAAATATATATTAGTCTATTTCCCTATTTATAATTTATTGCATATACAGTTTGATGCATCTGCTTTATCTCAACGACAAAAATTTCATGTATTCTGCCTATGTTGTCATTTGCACACACAAAGAAACATGTTGAATTCTGTTAGGCCCAGATATTGGGATTTCCTTCTGAGTCATAAGCGCCACACAGCCTCCGAGAGAGCAGTTGTCAATATTGGGTGATGGGAATCTCGTAGAAGCGGGTGTATGCCACCCACCCTGGGCTACCAAGTCTACCTCCACCACTGCTAAGACAGCAGCTACACAGCTACTTTCCTGACAATATTTGTGGTAGGCCCTGCACCAGGTCAATTAGTCAATGGTAAATGTTGCATTCTGTGAGCAGTTGGTGGGTGTTACTGGTTTTCAACATTCTATTTGAAGAGCATGATTACGTTTAAGGATAATCTTATGCAAATGTCTCTGATGTTACAGCTACCTTCTCACTGTTATACAATATGGATCATTAAATCACACAAACATTGCTTTCATTAGCTGCAGGAAATTGTTTATCAATTGATTCAGACAGATACCTAGACATACGTCTGCGTTATTTAATGGTTGTGTCTTTCAGTGACCTTCATGTATATGGTATTATGTTTGCTATAGATTCTCATTGTTGATGTTTTACTAATTAAATTAGGCTTGTGTATATAAAGTGTCTCTGACTTCTAAAAATCAAATTGACTACTAAATATTTCAATATGGCTCCTAAATTTGACAATCCCTACCCTACTGAAGTTTAGATATTTATTGCTGACAATTATCAGGCTTTCAGCCGACTACAAGCCTAAAGAGAATGATGTAATTTGCACTGTGCAGAATGGATTAGAGCAGGACTGGTAAATTATTTTATTGAGACAAATGACTGTCATATTTGATTGCCTTGAATAATAAATAGGTGTTAAAAGTATTTTAAATTACATTTGTGGGGTACTTAGGTCTTTATATATTATTTCATGAATACAAATGAGCAAAGAGGGCAAGCCTATTGGGAAGAAACTGTGAGGGCCAGAATAATCTTTAAGAAAATGGTAGCAGCTAACAAGTAGAATATGAATTGCTAATCATAGAGTAGATGGTTATTCAATCAACTTTACTACATATTTAGATTATTTTGAGGACCTGAACCCAAATCGGCTTTGGGCTGTGACCTTCTAGCTGTTGTGGACTACAGTTCCCATTATGTTATTCCAATGTTTTTCTGCCCAAAACAGAATAGTTAGTGGTAGTTTAGTCATATTTAGTCCATATTGACTTCAGAATAACATTGAGCTAGAGAGATAGCTGATTTTTCACCCAAGGGGACTCAAAGCACCATATGCTTTCAGAATGAATCCAAATTGTCAGCCAATTAATAGATTATGCTGCTAGAGGTCATGTTCTAAAAATATAGGATATCCTTAGGGTCACCACCCCTTTCCATCTGCTAACCAACTCACACTTTTAACCAACCGCCACTTCAAATTTGTTGTTAAGCTAACTATAACTTTACACTCTTTCTCTTTACATTGATCAGTTACAACATTAAAACCACTGACAAATGAAGTGAATAACATTGATTATATTGTTAAAATGGCACCTGTCAAGGGGTGGGATATATTAGGTGGCAAGTGAACAGTTAGTTCTTGAATTTTTTGTGTTGTAAGCAGGACAAATGGGCAAGATCTGAGTGACTTTGACAAGAGCCAAATAGTGATGGCTAGAGAACTGGGTCAGAGCATCTCCAAACTGGCAAGTCTTGTGGGGTATCCCTGGTATGAGTGGTTAGTACCTACCAAAAGCGGTGCAAGCAAGGACAATGTGAACCGGATCATTGGTTACCAAGTCTCATTGATGCACATGTGGAAGGAAGGCAAGCCTGCCTGGTACAATCACACAGAAGAGCTACTGTAGCTCAAATTGCTAAAAAAAAAAAAAAAAAACCTTGCTGGCTATGATAGAAAGGTGTCAGAGCACACAGTGCATTGCAGTTTGCTGCATAGCCCATTATGACCCATTTCCACCTTCAAAAGCACATTCAATGGGGAAATGAGTGGACCATGGAGCAATGGAAGAAGGTGGTCTGGTATGATGAATTACATTTTCGTTTAGATCAGGTGGATGGCTGGGTTATACCTGGGGAATATATGACAACAGAATGCACCATGGGAAGAAGGCAAGCTGGCAGTGTTATGCTCTGGGCAATGTTCTGCTGGAAAACCTTGGGTCCTGGCATTTACGTGACTGCTACTTTAACACGTACCAACTACCAAGAGATTGTGGCCCGTTCATGGCAATGGTGTTCCATGATGACAGTGGCCTCCTTCATCAGGATAATGCACCCTGTCACACTGCAAACATGGTTCAGGAATGGTTTGAGGTATTGTCTTGGCCTTCAAATTCCCCAGATCTCAATCCAATTGAGCATCTGTGTGATGTGCTGGAACAACAAACCCAATCCATGGATTCCCCAACATGTCTTGGTGACAGATACCACAGGACACGTTCAGGCATGGTATGCTCAACAGAAAATATAAATGCATTATATTGTCTAAAATATGTAAATATAACCATTTGGGTAGATTTATACAATATAGCATTAAAAAGTAGCATTATTGGAAAGTAAACATTTTTGTGGGTAAAATATTTCAAATATAAATATTTGTCTATTAAACCCTCATAATTAATTCTGTTATAAAGGATAGAATCTCCAATCTTTTATCCCAATGTGTTCTTGGTAGAATAAAATGTAGTGTATGTTTCATGTATACTTCTGCACAGCAAGAAAATTTGGTTCAGCCAAACAAGCCAACTTTTGACCATATGTCGGTAAGGTTCGGCAGAATTTCACTACTGAAAACACAATTTTGAAATTAATCTCAAATTTTAATATCTACTAAAATACTGAAATAAGAACTGTTAAAGGGGTAAGAATCTTTACCTTGTTTTTTGTTGCATAGATCATGATCCTGTAGTCTTACTGCTTAATTCTGTGCCGTTTAGGAGCTTACTCAATTTATTGTTTATGTAGGCCTAGCCACACCTCCCCTTGTTGTCACTCTTACAGCCTCCAGGAAAAAAAAGGTTTAATTTTGACAGCAATGTTTGTTTATGTAAGGAGTTCTTATATCCTGCTCAGTTAATTGAACTTTAATTCCACACAAGTGGCTTCTGTAGACTCTACTAAAAAAATTAATAGAACATGAGATTAGAAAACTCTCAATTAACACGTTGTGCAATAAGGGAAGCTAAACAAATTAGCCTACTTTTCAGGAAGTGTGTAGGCAGGCTGTTTGTGCCTTAACCGAGGGAGATGTGACTAGGGCTGCATAAACAAAGTGATTTAAATTACAGAGAATTGAGCAGTTTCATGGCAGTGACATGATTTAAACGCCAAGACCACTTCATTAAACTAAAGTTGTTTTGGTGCTTACAGTGTCCCTTTAAATGATGTATGTTCCAAGATAGCTTGCTATTTCCCTCTTTTACACAATTTTTAAAAGCAATTTCCCCAGAGGGCATTTGCTGAGTAATGCCTAACCGTAATGGAGGATGATGTAATTTGTCTGTGTATTAAGAGAAATGAATCATAGTGATTACATCATCTCTGTGCATTTGTGAATTGTTCTATAAATTATTTGATATTAAAGTGTTATATATATATATATATATATATATATATAAATGCAAACGTTTCTTAAAATCTGGAAAATAAAAAATAATGAATTGTATTGGTTTATTGATCAGTTCTTCTTCAGCTTGAAATTGTAAAATGTCAATCCTCCTTGACATTTTGAATAGTTATAAAAGTTTATCAATAATTGTATAAAAGTTTATCAATAATATACAAGATCAAGTGAAACGATATTGTCTTCATGGAAATAGGCTAGGCTTCACAAATGTTAATTGGCTCTGCTTGCCATGTCTCCTCTTCGTTGAGGATTCAGGAATTAAATATCCCACTGCTACATTGCGGTGGAAGTATAATAGAATATAATTTGCCATTTCCATTCTTTATTTCGTTAAATCTTGAAAACACAGCATCAATGTCTTCGATTATGTTTTTTGTGCAAAAATGCAATTAAAAAGGTGTTATAATTGTAAAATGCGATCTATTTAAATCAACAAGTTGTCGCTAAATAGGTAAAACGATCGTTATCCAAAGATTTTACCCACAATCAACTACCAAAAAAGGAATAGCACAATTAACCACCATAGTTAACAACTGTGTCTATTTCATGCCCATTTTAGACTTTTTAGAACAGGTCTGTTGGTATTGTTAAGTAATAGACCATATGTTTAAAATGAACTCTATATCTGTTTTATACCTGCCTGAGGATAACAGGTTTAAGACATAACTCCCCTGTAATCATACATACTGCTGTAATTGACTCTGGTAGCACCCTGGACTTATAGTAATGTATCTCTAAACAGGGGTTCTTTTCACCAGCCAAAACCCAGTGATACCCATAACAGGTAAATTAATTATTTATGTAAAGCACTGATGGCTCCAACCAATCCTGTGCTCCTAACACAATTAAGGACATTGAAAAAAACATATTACTGACTCATCACTCTCACATATACCCTACCTAAATGTTGCCATTTAACAAATTAAAATAATTGTAATATAAACCTTTATATGATTATATGGTGATCAGGGAAAGTTGGCCCATTTGTGACATTAAAACCCACACTAGCGATAAAAGGTGTTTATTGAAAATGTTTCTAAGGCATGTAATGCATTGTGTTTTTTAAGTGAACTATTCTATATCTATTATAATACTAAATACAAAAACAATCTTTATTATAGTTGATAATTGGACTGAAATTATTATATGTTTAGCCCTATATTATTTAAAATACATCAACTATAAAAACGTATCATTCTACTGAAAAAATTGACTTTCTCACCCCACCGGATGGTATTTTGTGTATTCCACATTCTTTTGTCCTCTACCAGAGGACTAGGAGTCTGAGGAGTATCTTAGCTGTTCCTAGAACTGCACTCTTCTGGACATCGATCTCAGATGCCCAAACTGGAATCTGTTGAAGCCACTCTCCCAGCTTGGAAATCACAGCCCCGAATGCTCCTATGACAAATGGGACTACTACTGCCTTCACTCTCCATATCCTTTCTAGCTCTTTTTTCCATCTTTAGTATTATTTGTCCACATCTTTATTTTTCTTCTTCCTGATGTTATGGTCACTGGGTATTGTCACATCCACCACCACTGCTGTCTTCTGTTCCTTATCTACCACCACAATGTCAGGTTGGTTGGCCAGTACTTGCTTGTCTGTCTGGATCAGGAAGCACCACAGGATCTTAACCCTGCCATTCTCAACTACCATTTGTGGTATCTCCATTCTTGCCTTAGGCAAGTCTAGCCTATATTTTGTGCAGATGTTTCAGTACACAATCTCAGCAACTTGTATGCTGTTCCAGCCAATATTTTGTACTTGGATACAATGTGCTAGATCGTCTCAGAGGACTCTATGCAGTCTGTACCTTGGGTCCTGTTTGGTGTGATAGACCTTCACTTCTATTTTTCTGGTTCTGAGTGCCTATTCCTGTGCTGCAATGATTAGTGCCTCAGTTCTGTCTTGGTGGTTCAGATATCTGTGGACCACTTTTCCTATCCATGCAGAGCCTTACAAAGCTAGAAACATAGATAACGTGGACAATTTTACCAGTCTGATTGTTTTAGGCTACAATTTGAAATTCACCGAACCACTGAATAAATCTGAAAGAATTCTGTGTTCTGATTGGTCTCCCAGTAAAAACAAAATAAGCAGGTGAGGGGTGGAACTGATTAGAGAAATAGAGAGATACAGATATAAACTTTACATTTTAATATTTTGGTATTGGCTTCCAGTATGTTATATCCTTTTTCAGTGAAAGATCTGTTTGAATTGCACATTTACAATGCCCATAGACACAGAAAAAATTCCTCACTAAAATAAAATAAAAATTAAACCTAGTATTCTTAACATTTATTCAGATTATTCCGTTTCACTGGATAAAGGAAATGTCACTACATATACCTAGAATATGACAACATGTTATAGATCTGGAAGAAAATCTGCTATATAGGGTTTTTACAATAATATAGGTAGGTACTTGCATTAGAATGACAATTCGTATTCGTATATGTTAGTCCAATGTGATGACACATAAGTGGATACATCATACTATAATGATGTACAAAGAATGGTATGCTTTATTAACCAGTATATATATAATTTTATATTAAAGGCACATATCAACATGAGTTTTATATAAATCTAGGTATTTATAAGGTATATATAATATTATGGAGGTACAGTTCAATGTGGGTGCTTGTTCTTAATGAAGGTGTATCTAATCAGATATATTATCTTATAGCGAAAGTACTTTTATTTTAGTTTATAAGAGAGTAACATCCCCTGGATGTTGGGCAAAAGTAACATCCCTAGGACGTACTTGGAAACAATCTGAATGTACCTTCCCTTGTTAAATACTTTGGTGTTATTATATTTGTGGTATATATCAGTTTATTAAGTTGCACATCCCATATAGCTTTTTAATTAAGGTACACATTCTAATTTAGGCCTCAATTTAATATATTTGGATAAGCTTTTCAAATGATTTTACACTTTTTTAAAAAACTTTTCAACTAATTTAATATTATGACAATTGTTTTGAAATTTTATATTTTTATATTTTTTTTAATTTATTGGTATATTTTGTATATATTATATATTTTCTGATATTGTAATATTTAGAGAATTTAAAAAAAAAAGTTTATCGAAAATATTAAAGCTGGACCTTAGTTGGGAAATAATCATGGAGACGCCCAAGTTGTACTTAAAAACTAGAGAAAGTTAACTTTCTAAATTAAATACCTGACCATAGTATTGTTGGAATTGCTACAATCCCAATCATCAAGGTAAATTGCATAGTTTGTATTAACACAAAGGTGTGAATAGGTTCTATAATTGGTACATTAACCAAGTGAGATAGCTCAACGACTCGATATCTCAATGATTTACTCTATGCTATCTGCTGGAGATGCAATCTAATTAAAATTTTCGTTTGATTTACTGATCAGTTGCATTTAACTTAATCTATTTGTCTGGCAAAAAGTTCATTATAAAGCATAGCTGGGAGCATATAGCTTGCTCGAGAATAATGTCTGCTTCTCGCAGGCTGATGATGGTTTTATAATCAAATTCATGTTATATCACCGAGAGCACTTTGTAAAAATAATGAGAAACTGTAAAACCATCGAGGCTTATTTCTTAAGATCTTATAAACCATAAAGCTTTGCAAGTGACATATCTGGGTTAACTTGAGGGATCTCTGTCACAGCACGCGCTTCATGTGTGTGCCCTAAAATATCTTCCCCAGGTAATTACCCATTGAAAGTCATGGTAGGGGGTACAATCTCCAAGCAACTGGAAAAGAGAGTGATATTTCATGATGCATAATCTTTTCATTTACTGTCCTAAATTAGCAATTAAATATTCAACTTGACAATTATATACACTTATTTAGTAGTATGTATTCTTAATGTAGATCTAATAAAAATTCAGAAAATGAATGATTCAGAGTAATAACATTAAATTGTTTTTACTAGAAAAGTTTTGTAATAATAGGAAGGTTTCTGTTGAATAAATAAAATGATAAGTTGTATGCTAAATGAAAATATACTTAAAGGGATATTATACCAAAACCACTACAGCTTGGTAGTGGTTCTGGGGAAAAGATCCTGTCCCTTACATGTTTCTGAGAAAAGACAGTGCCTAATGTCACCTCTAGTGGCTTCCACTCAGACTGTCACTGAAGGGACTTCCTGAGTTCACTCCGGCAAATATTGCAGGACCGACTGAGCAACTCCACGCTTTGCATCTTTATGAGGAGATGTTAATTTGTGCAGAGTGGAGATAGCTGCACTACCTGTGTCAGAATGTGTGGGTCAGTGATTATGTGTTGTGTGTCGAATAAAGTGTGTGCATGTGTAGGTTAGTGAGGGCATGGTTTGATTAAACAAATTCAACAATTTATATTTACGTTTTTGAGTAGTATGCATTTTGTGTATTATATTAGTATTTGCATGTGTATATATTATAAACATCACTTACATATGCATAAAACACTCAAATTGTAGAGAATAAAAATCTGAATCACATTACTTTGAAAATGCAGCCAACACCCACCACATACAGTACATACAGGCAGCACATACCACATATTCATTGCATACAGGCAGCTGACACACATTATATACAGCCAACACCCACCACACACACACATTACATATATCAAACAGACTATGCACAGTGCATACAGACAGCACACACTGCATACACACTACATACAGGCAGCACATACCACGTATACATTACATAGAGGCAGCAGATACACATTACATACAGCCAATAAACACCACACACACTAACTGTAGCAAAGTTAGAGAATATTTCCAGATTAACTATTTTCACTTATTATTCCATTCATTTCAGTTTTTGAAAATGAATTTAGCAAATAGCCCTGTCAATGTCCACAACTCTAGGCAAGGGTCCCCAATAATTGCTATTATTTTGTGTTAAGATAAGTAGATTGTCCTGTTGGACGAGTAGATTGGGCTACCACTTTAGTCCCTTGGACAAGTAGATTTAATAAAAAAATAAAAATAAACAATCCACATCCTTGTATGTATATTGATGTTTTTGAGAAAATTTTACTTTTCTATCTTTTTTGATGCGCAGCCATTTTGGGTCAGATTCTACTGTTATCTGACCAACTGTCTGAGTACATGAAAAAGAAAACAATAACAGGTAATAGTGCAGATTAGCAGTAATATACAGTGATCCGTTCCATAAATTAACACCTTAAATCATTCTAAGTCTTTTCATCAGCTCACAATTTGGGCATATTAAGAAATTATAAGGCTTCACACATTTCCAAAAAGACAACCAGAAAAATCTTCAAAATAATACAGCCATATATGAGGAGAAAGAATACAGAGATCATAGTGTAAAACAATATTACATTTATTGTAAAGACTAAAAGAATATGTATACTTAAAATTAGGGCCAGCCCACAGTAAATGACTCTCACAAACACAGCTAAAATATATATGAAATATAGAAAGTAGACCAACTCTGGTCCAGTCACTGCAGATGCCGTCTCTCAGATACTTTCACCAAAATATACAAGTAGATTTAGAAGCATTGCATGTTGCGTTAATACTAATGCATTTCTTTAGATATATATATATATATATATATATACATACACACACACAATACAGGGATGAGGGCACTCACTATTCTCCAATTTCTTTTCCAAACGGAATGATGTAATGTCTTGGTGCACCACGCTGGAACCAATATATATCCAAATATTTCAGCAAAGAAAAGTGGGCACTCGCAGGTCTTGTTTAGTGAAAAAAATTTGCAAATTTATTATTGTAGCATCAACATTTCAGATATTAGTAGCACTCGGCAATTTATTGGTTTTCAGTACAGTTAAAAGGTAAAGTAAGTACAGTGTATGGATGTAATAATATCTTATCTATATAATAAAAGATACAGGTGCTGTAGATATGCAGGGTATGTATGTGTAACTTTTCTTTTATACAGATATAAAAATGCACTTTAAGATTGATGTAAGATTCATTATTTTTACACAGTTTTTACACAGTTGCTCAGCTCTAATGGAGAAAGGTGCTTGATCCATTTTTTAAACATTAAAACAAAAAAGCTAAAGTTGAAAGTGATCTTACTGGAGGTGTAGATAGCTGCAGTAAGCAAGTAGTGAGCAAGTAGTGCAGGTCTTACCAATGTGTTGCCAAAGGTTATTTTTAAAAATCATTGCAATTGATATTAGGCATGTGCATGGGCAAAAAAAATGGTACGGTTTGGAAATTCGGGTAAGTAAAAAAATGTGTCTGCTTCGGCAATTCAGATCAATGGCATTTGGTTCGGTTCAGCACTTTGTAAGCATCCGAATGTCCGAATGGCATGAAGTTCGTACAAATGAACATTCAGAACTAAACGAATTGCACATGTCTACTTTATATATCCTAAATAATAATCGGCTAAGGATGTTTGTCTGATGCAGTCATGCGCAGTAGAGACTGCACATGACTGCAAGGGACAAACATCCCATGCCATGTGTTGAGGGAGCAAAGTACTTACGAATGTCCGAATGGCATGAAATTTGTACGAATATACATTCGCAACGAAACGAATCGCACATGTCTAATTGATATTATAATCACATTTCTGGACAAAGCAGCATAATGAAGTTTACTTAAGTTTTGCTATAGTCAAAGACTGGTTTTAGAATTACATTATATTTAATTTCCTTTTTCATTTTCTTCTTATCTCTACATTGAAACATGATCACAGAATCATGCTCAGCATAGCTTTTTGATCATACAGTAGTTTATCTGTTACGAAATCCAAATGAGACGTCATAGTCTAGTCACATATCACAATTTCGTTGGAGTCAAGTGGCAAGTTCCTTTTGTTTTGTTGGATTACTCAGGACTTTTTAATTTATTTCACATGAAAAGTTTTCCAAACACCAAGAAAACAGTTATCCAACATGCTGGATGATTAAAAATAATGTCCTTTATTGGCAGTTGTACAGTATGGGAAAAGTCTAATAAAGCATTTTTATTCAAACATATACATATATAAACATTGTTGGGAGGGCATATATATTTTCTAATCACACCACTAATGCATCTCATTACATTTATTTTAAACACGAGTAAGTTATTAGTCATTAGTAAGTCATTATTCGAAGATCACTATGATTGGCAAAATATTAATTTATGCGTATAGTACATTTTAGGCATTTTGTGATTATATTGCTAACCTAATGTTACTCAAGCAGTTACTCTGAATTAAGTAAGAATTGTAATATTGAGGCTAAAATCGCCAAGCAAACTAAGCTCTGGGCTAGAGCTTAGATTGATAACCCCTTAAACAGAGTTTATTATCATTTGGATCATAATGAAGAAAGGGGTTTAAGCTATCACATACCATTGAGAAAATGACTAATGCAGTGGTTTGAGTACCTCCATATTAGGTATTATTATGACTGACACAAATATAGCAAAAGAAAGGTAAAACGCACGCACTTTGTATTAAAGCTCACATTTTTAGGTATAAGGTGATAATATTCCCACCCAGTAATATAGTTGTCCTCCATATAAGAAAAAGATGATGGAATAGAGTGTTTTCTGCATAATATTATATATGGAGAGAATTGAAAATGTACTCACAATTTGTTGACCAATGGATTTGCTCAGTATTTGCAGTGTTGGTGGAACAATCCACACCAAGGATTTGAAGGTAGTAATCCAGGAAGACATGCTTCATGTAGTGTCAGGAACAATGAAAGCGTAAAATAAATTTAAAAAATAACAATAAAGACTACCAGGTTCAAATGTAGCCTACTATTTGGTCCATGTCAAAGTCATTCAGATCTTTAAAAGACATTGTGCTCTAGACTAAGGGGTGGCCTCAGCTCCAGATTCACATATGTACAATAAAGGGTGAAGGCCAGGTACTTGGTAGACTTTTAATGAAGTAACTCACATAAAGACAATGCATCAGTCACACAACATGATCTTTATCAAGTCATTTTGATAAAGATCTCATTGTATGACCAAAACATTACCTACATGTGAACTGTTCCTGTAAAGAAAAAGAACACAGTGTGTCTGGACCTCATCCTTTAATGTACATACGAGCAGAAATCTACAGTCAGCTGTACATTAAATGCACACAACATATTGACAAATATACCGTGATCAAATCCAAGAGCATGAATTCTAATGAGCTGAGCCAGCTTTCATTTTCAGTGCAATAGTGAAATGCTCGACAAAAGCTTGGGGATGAAGGTAATGATATCAGGACAATATGTTTTGCATGATTTTCTTGTGCCATATGGCTAACTCTAGGTGTTGTATCAAACTGCGTCAGTACTTAAGCAAAAATATCTTGCCTTCTGTCATTTATTACAAGCCCTGGGGTGTTTTAAGGTATCTATTTAAAATTGCATTTTTATATATCATTCACAATTTTTGGAATATCAGTAAAATATGTTGTGCATTAAAATATAGTTAACTTTCCATTTAGAATTATTGTTTATTATTTGTATGTATTTGTAAGGAAACACATATGTGAACATGTATATATCAAAATAATGTTCTGAGATCAATTTGATATAATGTACTGAAGTACACTCCAATCTAAATTAGATTTAATGCTTTTCAAGTTCATAAATTCTTAGGTGCAATGGTGGCTATTTTTTTTTTTTTTTTTTTACAAAATCTAAGAAATGTTAAGTAAATTACTGGAAATAAAAAAATGGCAATGGAAAAAATAACCTACAGCGCCAAAGCAAAACACAGCGTTTTGTGAATAAAAAAGATCTGAAAATGTTTCATAGGTATTGTCATTGCTCCAATGTACAAATTTTTGGCAAATTCTTAAATAATTGTTGCTTTATGAGATGAACCCACTATATTGGAAATCTGTTCTCAGGTGCTATACAGTTCAAAATTAGAACCCTTAAAAAATTAGGGACATCAGATTTTAGACCGACAGATTTTGTAAGTAAATCCCATTTATTTTACTTAAATTTAGAATCAGTGTGTGACATCACAGTGCCATAAAACATACAACAAATACCTAATGCTACCAGGTAGGGTAACTCCTATCAATTTAGGGCATTTGGGAAAAAAAATTTTTTTAGTTGCTGCCGTAAGATTAAATGTATGCTAGCCCTAAGCGTTACTCTAATTCTCAAAAGGTATGCAAAATCAAAGATGTATAATTTTAGACATTTGATATTTGTGGATCTGATAAGACAGCTGTGGTATAAAGTAAAACAAAAATAAAGTTAACTTCAAGTGAACCATAGTTTGGTTAGAAGAATGGCATATAAATCATTACTTATCATCATGATCTTAATAATTTGTACAGGTTTAATTCCCAAATATGAACAATCATCCTCCCAAAAATAAGAAATAATGACTTATCGACTAAGAAAAAATACTGTATTTTTTTTTTAGTTCTCACTTCAAAAAATAATGCTAATTAAACTAAGGGAAATAGAAAATGCCAATGGCAAAAACTGCCTACAGCGCCAAAGAAAAACATGATTGAGAAAAAAAATCCCAAAAATGTTAGCAAAGTCTAAAACCCGAATCCATATAATATGATTAACCTAACTAACTGCTATGTTATTGTACAGCTTGGTATCATATAAGAAAGCTAACTGTGCCATATTTTTACTTCCAGCCTACAAAGAGAAGATGAAGGAGCTCTCTATGTTGTCTCTTATCTGCTCCTGTTTTTATCCTGAGCCACGCAACATCAGTACATATACATATGATGGTAAGTGATCATAGCTAAAATTGCTAAGTGAATGCAAATGTCAGTGATTTTCTGATTGTAGTGTCTGTAATTTGGTTAAACGTCTGCAATTATGCACTCAAATGTTGTTTGGAGTCCATGCTTCCATGGCCTGCTCTAGATTATCTTATTTTAGAAACCGACATCAAAGTATGTTTCACTGGGAAATGTATCCCTTAATTGTATTATATTGATGTTAACTTGAAGGATAACATTGAGATTTCAATTGATCGGTTGATTCACATTTCCCTTTAATTCACATGTCCTGTTCACTGAGTTAAAATTTTACTATAACTCTATGAGAAAAATAATTTGGAGGCTGGATGCCCATGGAAAGCAAAGAGTTAAATTTAAAACAAAACCATTTCCCCATCTCCCTTCATGTTAGAACCTTGAATTCCTGGTGGTAAATCTAGATTTAAATTGAGAAACTGAAATTATCTCATTTAAATTCCATTTTGTGATGAAAACCCTAAAGCAAAAAAACTTGTCTGCAACAGAAAGCACTGAGCTGAAAAATACAGAAGTATTAATGTATCGTCACATTCCCTGTATTATCTTTAGTAATTCTGCTTTTTTTGTTGGTTAGAAATAAAATAAAATAAAAAAAATACAAGATTGCGGAACACATAGACATCTTTCCTTAACAGGTTTTTAAACCTGCCATCCTGAGAGAAAAAAAATCGAATACACGTAGCGATTTTCTCATCTGATTTGCAGGAATCAATTAAGTAGCAGAGTGTTTCAAATGCCATTAAAGTAAGCGTATTGTTTATCGGCCCTAGAGTTCAATAATTAACAGCCAGGCCTCATAAACTAATGCACAGTTAAAAGTATTAATGATATATATAGCTGATTAGTGTAGGAAACCAGTATCACTGAAATTGTACACAATTCCATTAACTCGCCTGCTGTCAGGGATCAGAGCAGAGCCAAGGTTCCTAGTAGAGTAATATTAAAAACAAAGGGATAGATAAAACATTATAATGACCTTAGAGTGGACTGAGTTAATGTTAAAGTGTATTGCATCTCGAGACTGGTCAGGGTATCATAAGAAATGTTTTTGTGGGCAGCGGACAAAAAACAAACCATGGACAAGCTAAGAGCAGAGTAACAGAGGACTGGAAAATGGATAACATGCAGAAACCACAATTGGGGTCATGATGATAGGTATCTTGGATAGGTCCTAACCAGCTGGCTTCGATTGGTCCTAACCAGTTATCAAGCATGGATCACATCCAAATACATGTTGTATTTGTATTGGATGGGTGACAAATCTATAATCATATAAAAATAAATAGTGAAAAACAATCTTTAGTAGATTCTTCCGGCATCAAACAAATTTCTATTTCTTTTTTTTTTTTTCAAGGTTTTTATTAATAGCATTCCATAAGTACAGGTAAAGTGTAGCAGTAACAAGACAGAGTATATCGCTGGGCGGGCCAGCCAGTTATGCAGGTCTGGTTGCAGTTAACAATCGTACAGTATATGCGTTACAGATCACATATTTGGCATTGACAGCTGTGTTTTACATTATGGTGGTGTGCGTAATTTGTGGGGTATTGTATGTGGCGAGGGTTAGCTGTGCACCGCGATATCAGTGTGGTGCATATTGCTGGCAAGATGCGGGCAAGGTGCGAGGTATGGGTCTTGTAATGTGCGATTTGATATTCACGGACAAGGAGGGGTATCTTGCGGGCAGTTGGGGGACGTAGCAAACACATTTCCAATACATTATGGAAGTTAGTGCTCCTGTAACCATAAACAAAATACTGTTGCAGTTACCTAGGGCCTAATGTATAGCATGTGTATGTTCCGGCCTATGAGGCCCTCTAAATTAGCTTGAGAATCCATGTTTTTGTATTGATGGAGGGGAAAAGAACCAATGGACTAAGAATCTAGAGCCTGCAAGGGTTATACTCATATCTTTTTACTAGAAGGGAACCTGCTACACCAGTTAGAAGAAACTTTATACCATGAAACGGACTCTGGCCCTGGATCCCAAATGAAGGGTTTACAACTCACAGAGAAGAGGGAAAATACCTAAGCTTTATCAAAAAATAAAGACTTTGTATGATTTAGACCCAATCTTGGTGGTATGAATCTCTTGACAAATTAACTAAACATGGCCTAAGTTAAAAAGGTATAAATCAGTTGAGCCACTAATTGTTATGAGACACAGGGTAGACTGTTATAATAAATGACATTGATCAAGGAAGATGATAAGCTTTATAAAGAGATATATTTTAGGAACTTTTTAAAGGACCAGAGTCTGGAGAAAGCCTAAAGGTACATAAGTAAGGTATCTTGTTCCATATGAATGTTGCTGCCCTAGTTAAATTGTGTAGGCTAGAATTAGCAATGTAGGTGCAAAGACAGTATCCACTTAACTGTCAGAGCAGAGTGACTGCGAAATGATGTCAGAGAAACTTGTTAAGAGCTTTGTGTTCATATTTTTAATGGTATTTGGAAGGGTATGGGAAGCCAGTGTAAGGTTTGACATAGAAATGATGTGTGAGGAGTTGCAAGTAACAATATTAAATCTGGCAACATGCTTTTAATATATCTGGCCTGATTATTTGATCCTAGTTGTCTTTATTATAATGCTCCTCCCTGATTCAGTAGGAATGTGTATCTATGGGAACTAGAGGCACACTTGCAGAAGTTCCTTCCATTTATGTCAATGTCTTACTGTTATTTGCAGATATGGAAGTGAAACAGATTAACAAGCGTGCATCTGGACAGGCGTTTGAGCTGATTCTGAAGCCGCCCTCTCCAGTGTCAGAAGCCCCACGGACCTTGGCCTCTCCAAAGAAGAAGGATGTTTCCTTAGAAGATATCCAAGCAAAATTGGAAGCTGCAGAGGAGAGACGAAAGGTGACCTGGTGTAAAATGTGTGGTCTTAATTTCATAATTGGCTACTGAATCTAAAGTATACATATTCTTCACATAAACCCTTAAAAACAATATTACTCAAGCACATTAAATAATGCACAAATTCAAGTATAGGATTACAAGATGTAGTGTATATTGCAATGTCTCTGTGCTCCTTATATTCTTATAACAATCAGGATTATCCCTGTAGCCTCTAAATTTCTCTTACTTGCAGAGTTAGGATGTGCACACAGGTTAACAGACTGCAGTATTATTTCCGCTATGACACTAAAGCAATTTCCCTCTTTTTATAGTAATCCAATTCTCAATTTCCTTATTGACAATCTTACATCAGACAAAAATAATTAACTCTTTCTTATGCATAACTCTCTAGCTATATAAAATGTGCTCATTTACACATGACTTATCAAACAAGTCATATATAGCTGATGTCCTTCTAAAACATATTTACCCTATTGAGACACCATAAATACAGTTAGTGTGACACGTTTTAATCAATATGGATTATTGTACATTTAGATCAAGATGTACCAATCAATATTTCAGACATATATACTTCCCATAAAACATAACAATTTTACTGTATATTATTACAGTGTTGCTGAGAGTAAAAAAAAAAATTTTTCGAGAAATTTAACAAGCAAATAAACAGGTAAAAATATATATTTTTTAATTTAAATGATACTACTAGAGAATAATTATTCGAGGTATATACTTCCAGCAAAAGGTCTGCAAGAAAAAAACCTTTTTAGACAAAACATTGGCATGTATAAGTATTTATATTTTTATTTTTTTATAACGTGCTCACCTACCTTTACCAATACAAAGAGAGACAAAACCTGACATTTTCAAGATTTATACATCGTAAGTCAGTTCCGTCACTTACAAAAAAATCTTCTTAAAATATGGTAGCAGAACACGTGTGCTATATATTCATATCTGCGTTTTTTGAAAATTTCACAAAATACACAACTAAAACTCGGATTTGAGTACATGAGCGTTATCTTTCAAGCGAATCAACAGGGTATTTAACCGAAAATGTTTTTTTGTTCATTAATGTCAGCTTCAAGAAGCACAAATACTGAAGCAACTGGCAGAAAAGAGAGAACATGAGAGGGAAGTTCTCCAAAAGGCACTGGAAGAAAATAACAACTTTAGCAAAATGGCAGAGGAAAAATTGACCTTCAAAATGGAACAGATCAAAGAAAACCGTGAAGCCTACTTAGCTTCTGTCCTGGAACGTCTTCAAGAGAAGGTAAGAAGAATTTTCACATTATTCTCATCTCTGCATAATTATAAAAACTCATTTCTAGGCATTCCAAGGTCAGATGACATTCCAAATTCCAATTTAGATTTATATGCAGATACATGTTTTAAAATAGTCTACCCCAAGGTAAAAACATTAGATTTTTAAACCAATATATCGGTACGAGCATAGAACAGAAGTGATACTTCTCTAAAATTGACAATTCATTACTCCCTCACCTTTGTAAATGCTATTGGGTTATTTTCTGGGGTAAGTGAAAATAGACTTACCTCTGCACAATAATTGTAAAAGAGACATATCAATCTGTAGTTTGCTTGCATTAGGGGTTTGTTTAGTTACAAAACCTTGGTCCATGGGGGTCAAATGACAGAATTAGTCCTTTAACCCCTTAAGGACCAAACTTCTGGAATAAAAGGGAATCATGACATGTCACACATGTCATGTGTCCTTAAGGGGTTAAATTACGCAATTAAAATTACAGATTATAATACCTACATGTTTGCCCACAAACTATATATATATCCCGGAATATGGTTTACACCCTTCTTCTGAGCACCCACCTTTTTGATTTTCTCTTATTTCCTTTCTTTTCTAACCTTGTATTCATATTAATAAAATTTACAATTGTATGTTTACATTGTATGCATGCTGTATGTATAATTAAAGATTTAAATTTAATAGCGATATAGAATAGTTGTGAGAAAAAAACTGAAATGAAAAACATATTTGATTTTATATTTGGAGTAAACAAAACTCAACTTATCTGTTACAAGAAACTTTTTTGAGTTTGCACTGTTGGTCTGATCACTAAACACACACAATGTTATTTACTATAGTATGAGTTGTCAGGAATTCACCAGGAAATTTAAGACCCAACCAGTTAGGCTATATATAGATATAGCTAGCTTGGAGAATGTTTTCCATTTCAACTATCTTGTCTCAGATTTGTATTTTCCTGGTAAATTCTTCATCAATCGCTGTTTAGAATTAGGAAGTAGGTGAACAATGGGCCAGGTTGCGGATACCGTTGGGACCTGTGGTTTATGACATCATATTAAAATGAATTTGACACAGACACAGGGATTGGCATCAGCAGCCTGTTAGTACCATGCAATGGGTTGGAATGAGAAGTGTTCATGGTCCTGCGAGAGTTCCTTTAACGCCTTAAGGACCAAACATCTGGAATAAAAGGGAATCATGACATGTCACACATGTCATGTGTCCTTAAGGGGTTAATTTGCAATGATACAGGGACACATCACTGCCCAAATAAAAAAAGAAAGAAAGAAAGAAAGAAAATCACTGTTAAGCATATATATTCACCATTAAAACATGCATGCATTTAATTATGCATTTTTTTCATGGGGGGTATATCTAGAAACTGCTTGCAAAAACTGCAGGTCTCTTGTTTGAAACCTTTTGCAAGCCATCTCCTTCTAACCTCATCCAGGCAACCTGTGGTCTAATCACAGACTTCCCCATGCAAGTCAATAAAAAGTCTTTGAAAGGCAGGTGCTCTGGGCAATTGACTTTGTCTTGTGGTTATCATAACTGAACTAAACAAGCAGGAAGAAACAGCACCGGATTGACAGCCGGGGGGGTGGGGGGGTGTAACTAGGTTAATTTCCAAAAGTGCCAATTTCTATTGAAATCTGCACTTTTTGTAAAATGAAAATAGAGGACACACATAAAGCAAGCTGAAGTGCTTTATGGGTTTGGAATATCCCTCAAAGATGAACATAGAATGTTAAACATCACAAACTCTTACATACATAGATTATTGTAATTGTATGACTTGGGGATTTCTATTTGTTCCATTACAAAACCATGTGTTGATCCTTAAAGGTTTTCAACCTTGACAAATGCATAATGGTAATGAAAATACTGGTAATATCCATGCCAGCTGCACAGAAGTGTTGAAGAGCTTTACACTTGTTCCATGTATGATATGATATTTTGTAGCACATTGTGCAAGCCCTCATAGCCTAGGGCAGGGGTAGGCAACCTTCGGCACTCCTAATAATGTGGACTACATCTCCCGTAATGTGGACTACATCTCCCGTTATGCTCTTAACACAGTAAAGGAGTTTAAGCATGCGTGGGATAGGCATAAGGCTATCCTAACTATAAGATAAGGCCAGGGACTAATAAAAGTATTTAGAAAATTGGGCAGACTAGATGGGCCGAATGGTTCTTATCTGCCGTCACATTCTATGTTTCTATGTTTCTAAAGCATCAGGTAGGATGTAGTCCACAACATCTGGCGTGCCAATGCTACTTACCCCTGACCTAAGGTCTTCTGCAAGTTTCCACATATTTTGGCATACCAATAGATTTAGCGTGATGCACACAACAATACTAACGCATGGTATTGGTATAATTTTGCAGGAAAGACATGCCGCTGAAGTGCGCAGGAACAAGGAACTCCATGAAGAACTTTTTGGCTGAAAAAATATCCCATTAGTAATTCCTTTGCCTATATAATTACGGATCATGTGATATCAGTATGGAAAATGTATGACATCTAAAAAAAAAAAAAAATCAAGAAAAAAAAAAACAAGACAAGAACTCATTAAGAAAATAAATTGCGGTCTCTTTGCAGAATGATTTGCTTGATGTTTAAAAAAAAATGAAAATTTGGGTCTTATTTTGTAAATATTTACATTTTTGTTAAAAAATACAAGTATTGCATTATGCAAGTTATTTCATAATCTTACATGTCCTGTAACAGGCTTTTGGTGTTGTCTATTTCCTCTAAATTGAATTTGCTGTTTTTTTCCAAGATGCCCATGTCTAAACTCATTTCCTGCAGTATTTCCTTTAATGCAACATACAATTAGAAGGTTTGCGGTGGCAGGAAGACTTACCATAACCTAGCTGTACCGAATATTTTGTAAGCTTTACAGTTTGTTCAATCAGTCTTTATATCCACAGTGCAATGATGTTAGTACATGTCTGTGTTCTGAAAGATGCTTAACTGGTGTCAATAAAATGCTCTTTCCTAGTGTGTCATGAATCGATGAGGCCTTTTCACCTTTCTGGAGTGTAGGACAGGTCAACCAGTCCGTAGTCACTCATCTGTTTGTGAGAAATAGACAGAACTTTACAGGCTGTATACACATGCAGTAGGTTACGTTGCTTTTCCACCGATATTACACTTGGACATCACGTTCCCACAAGCAGAAAAAGAAGAACAAATAAATTACATCTACAATTATTATTTCCACTATTATAGGGTTGAGTGAATACCCAAAAATACAAAAAAATGTTTTAAAAAATAACACATATTGCTACTGTTAAATCAAAAACAATTATAATTGTAACCTAAATAGGGGCAAGAAAATGATTTGCATATACAATACTAAGAACAAGAACACTGGAGACAGGCATTGATTAAATATAACATAGCTGAAGGTCTAATTCCTTTGGGTTCATGTTAGTACAAAAGTTATTTGGGACACTACATCACTTAGAAAAGCAGTCTTGGTCTACAGACTTTATAACCTTTATGCCAGGGACAAGGTAATTGCCTAACATTTATTCAGCTATTTTTGAACTATAAGCCCAAAATCCAATGTTAATCTGTGGCAAGCCGAAGACAATGGCAAGTCGCAATTAGGTAACCCACAGAAAACTTTGGTTGATTTGCGTAGTATATACTGTATATCGTGTTGTCATGGAATATGTTTGGGGCTTCAGGGCTTACGGAATTTTGCCACATTCTTGTTCCATGGTTTGATGGCACCATTATTAACAAAAAACTAAAATACTGTTAAGCATTAAAATACTGGGATGATTAGACAGGGTGCACGTGCCAAGTATGTAATTACTAAACAGCCAAAAAAAAAAACCCTTAAAACCTAGTTGCAGTTTTTGAATTGTTCCTACCCCACGGGAGTATCTGCCTGCATATTCTACTGTTAGTGCTATTTCCTGTATGTCATTGTGAGCAAGCTGTGATAAATAAAGAATTGGGGTTCTGTGAACTGATACATGCTTAGACTTTTTATTGCTCTTTTCGAGTTGCTAATTATGTTGAAGCTAAATCTTGAAACGCTAGTGCAATTAGAACCTAAATGCTTTATACAATTCCTTTGAGGTAGGCTGCCGAGGTCCATGAATGCATCTAAGATAATTAAACCTTGAGGTAAGAAAAGGCTCATCACACAGAGTGGAGAACACATTGTATCTATTTTAAAAGGCTCTGCTAAGGAAAAAAAAAAATATTGTTGACAACCCCAAGTTCTCCAAGTGTTTTGGTTTGTAGAAAGAAACAAGAAATAAGAAACAAGAAACACTATGGAAGTTTGATATATTAACATATTCATTTTTAAATTGGTAGAAAATGTGTTAAAAAACTCTAAATGTTCAAGATTCTAAAAGGAAACCCCTTTAATATAAGAGAGATTTTTCAGAACAATATCTACTAGTTCCAATATTACAATCTGGAGAGCAGATATATGAATGAACACAATTATTATTATTATTATTATTATTATTATTGCCATTTATATTGCGCCAACAGATTCCATAGCGCTTTACAATATTATGAGAGGGGGGATGTAACTATAAATAGGACAATTACAAAAAACTTACAGGAACGATAGGTTGGAGAGGACCCTGCTCAAACAAGCTTACAGTCTATAGGAGGTGGGGTGTAAAACACAATAGGACAGGAATTTGCAATCAAATAAGGTGGGCTGCCTTTTAGGAGGGAGCAAGAGACAGGTATGTGAGGTAGAGGTTAGTCAGGGAGGCCATAAGCTTTCCTAAAGAGATGGGTTTTAAGGCACTTAAAAGATGCAAGATTAGGGGAGAGTCTGATACCGGTAGGCAGGCTATTCCGTAGGAAGGGAGCCGCCTGCGAGAAGTCCTGCAAGCGTGAGTTGGCCGTACGGGTGCGAACAACGGACAGGAGGTGGTCATGGGCAGAGCGGAGAGACCGAGAAGGGACATACCTATGGATCTGTGCAGAGATATTAGAGGGGCTAAAGTTGTTCAGTGCTTTATAGGTATGAATTAGTACCTTGAATTGACTTCTGTAGCATACTGGAAGCCAATGTAAGGCCTGACAGAGGGGTGAGGTGTGAGAGAACTGACTAAAGAGGAAAATCAGTCTGACAGCAGCGTTCATTATGGACTGTAGCGGTGCAGTACAGCTTTTGGGAAGACCAATCAGGAGAGGGTTACAATAATCCATGCGGGAAATCACTAAAGCATGGACAAGCTCCTTGGCAGCATCTTGCATAAGAAAGGGGCGGATGCGGGCTATGTTTTTAAGATGGAATCTACAGGATTTGGCAACATACTGGTTGTGAGGCTCAAAGGTGAGGCCAGAATCAAGTATGACGCCAAGACAGCGCGCTTGCAAGGATGGACTGATGTGGGTACCACAAACTTGAAGGGAGAGCGAAAGAGGAGGATCAGTATTAGGAGGAGTAAAGACAAGGAGCTCAGTTTTAGAGAGATTGAGTTTCAGAAAGCGGGAGGACATCCAGTCAGAGATGGAAGAAAGGCAAGCAGTGACACACTGCAGGACGGCAGGAGAGAGGTCCGGGGAGGAGAGATATATCTGGGTGTCGTCAGTGTACAGGTGGTAGTGGAATCCAAAAGAGGTAATAAGTTTGCCAAGAGAGGCAGTATAAAGAGAAAATAGAAGGGGACCAACTGAGCCTTGGTGGACTCCAAATGAGACAGGACGAGGGGAGGAGGTGTCATTAGAAAAGGAGACACTGAATGAGGGTTGGAAGAGATAAGAGGAAAACCACGAGAGGACACAGTCACAGAGACCGAGTGATTGAAGAGTTTGAAGAAGGAGAGGATGATCAATGGTGTCAAAGGCAGCAGAGAGGTCAAGAAGAATTAGTATGGAGTAGTGGCCTTTTGATTTTGCTGCGATTAGGTTGTTAGTAATTTTGATAAGCGCAGTCTTAGTAGAGTGGAGAGGGCAGAAGCCAGATTGAAGAGGGTCAAGGAGAGAGTTGGAACTGAGGAAATGAGACACACGGGTAAAGACAAGTCTTTCCAGAAGCTTTGAGGAAAAAGGGGGCATTCTTTCCTTAGCTGTTCAATCTTGTCGGTAAAGTAACATGCAAAGCTATCGGCAGTAAGCTTAGTTTGGGGGGTGGCCACAGCAGGGCAAAGAAGAGAATTAAAGGTGTCAAAGAGACGCCTTGGATTGTGGGAGCATGAACTAATGAGAGAGGAAAAGTAGGACTGTATGGTGAGGGCAAGGGCTGCACTGTATGAACACAATATGAATCTATAAATGAGAAAGTCTGACTGGGTGCAAGACTTCCTCCAGGAGCGCTCAGCACAACGGGAGCATCTTTGCAGGTAGCGTGTTGATTTAGTATGCCATGGTTGGGAGCGTGTCCTCCTCAAGGTGCTTGTTTGGAGCGGTGGTGCAGTGTTCAAGGTAGAGGTGAGGGTAGTGTTATATGTGGCGATGGCCAATGAAGGACAGGAGAGGGAAGGGATGGATAGTAGTTGTGAATCAATATCAGCTGACAGATATTAAAATTGAAGTTGTGGCAATGACACATGACTTAACTTGACAATCTCAACTTTTTATAAATGCGAGTTAAACACCGGGCATATAATAGTTTGAATATGCTTTAACGCTTACATGGGATGCACCATGGAATTATGTTATATTCATAATAGGTGTTGTCTATAGAATAACAAGGAAACACACTGGAAGGAGCAGGTTATCCAATGCTACCCACCCACACTTATCTATTACTTGGAAATACTAGACTACCACCAAGAAAGATATATTGACATATGCTACAGTATATGCACCCAAAAGGTATAGATGGTCCAAAACAACACCTCCATGCTTTGTCTTTGAAATTGCAAGCATTATGTACACTGTACTTCAAAAATATCTTGGAATCAACCTTTTGGTTGCTTTGTGCTACAGTACACCAAAAGGTATTTTTTTTTTTTTTTGTTCATCATAACCTCATTCAATGTATTACATTACCGAAGACGTTAAATACTTCAAAGTGTGGCCTTGTGCGACGTCAAGCAGAAGAAGGGAGTAGAAGACTAACATACATTAAAACATCATGTTCGTCACATTGACCCCCATGATACTGCTCAAACATAGGAAGAAGTGAGGCAACGCACAGGGTGATAAGCATTATTAAGAAGTATATGCACACATGAGTTTGTGAATTTTCAGATCTATAATGCTTAAGAGCTGAAAGTATAGGTTTGCCATTTCCACCATGTTTTCTTTGACACAAATAATTTAATTGTGTTGGCAGTGTATGAAAATGAAGCCCTGTAGTTTGTAGAATTTATATGCTGCAGGATTTCTCATTGATTTACTGTCTGCGGCATCTGAATTTACATACTACAGGGAAGCACTTTATATGCTTCCTGTCAATATGTGTAAGTGGCAGACAACCAATGACAAAATCAGAGAAAAATAGAAGGTCTTAAAGAATGAGTTTCCATGGTTTGTGTGAAAATCCTATTTTTTTTTTCTTTTTCTTTATGATAGAATTTGCGAAGGATTTAATTAGTAAAACAGCACATGAAAATGTAGCAGTTACGGCCCATTACATGCTTGCAAATATAAGGAGATTAAATTCTTTATTATGTTGAAGGGTATTTATAAGCAAATACCTGGCTGTTTTGATATTTTTGTGACAAGAGAATAGAAAGGATGTCATTAAAAGAAAAGTGTTACTCCAAGCATCCTAACCAGTACAGGTAAATACAGGTAAATAAAGGTTTATCCTTTTACTTGGGTCCCATGGGGCACTTGGTCTTATATAAGTGCATGTTATGCATATATAGCTTCTGCTGAGCTGCTTTCATTGGCAGAGAGCATCAACACTCAATGACTGACCCTCTGTGCAAAGAATATGCACAGAATTGACATTAGTCAGCCTTGAACTCTAATTTGTTGCTGGCTGGTGATGCAGCTGTAAAATATCTCAGTATATACAGAGTTTGATACTGAAATGCCGCACATACAGACTCCAAACAGACTTAAAAACATGCTTGGGCTAATCCTTTAATATCTCTATTGGACACGGGAAATGTCTAATAAGTTGGCTATTGTATGTAATTCAGGAGATGGTTCACAACCATTGATAAGGACAAATGAAAAGTTAAAGGTACACTACAGTCACCAAAACAACTTTAGCTTAATGAAGCCGTTTTTGTGTATAGATCATGTATCTAAAGTTTCACTGCTCAATTCTCTGTCATCCAGAAGTTAAATCACTTTTGTTTCTGTTTATGAAGCCCTAGCCACACCTCCCATGGCTTTGGCTAACACAGCCTGCATAAACGCAAAATGTTTTCAGTTTCAATCTGATATAACTTAATTTAAAAGTTTTTATCTCCTGCTCTGTATTTTGAACTTTAATTACATATAGGAGGCTCTTGTAGGGTCTAGCAAACTATTAACAGAGCAGGAGATAAGAAATTCCTAGTTAAACAGAAATTGCCATAAATGAAGTATAAATATTAGATGACTCTTTACAGGAAGTGTTTAGGAAAGCTGTGTATGTCACATGCAGGGAGGTGTGGCTAGGGCTGGTTGAACAAAGTGATTTAACTCCTAAATGTCAAAGAATTGAGCAGTGAGACTGCATAGGCATGATCTATACACCAAAACTGCTTTATTAAGATAAAGTTGTTTTTAGGGAAAAAAAATAAACTTAAAATTTAATCTCTGAATTTGGTCTCTGTTGGGAAAATCAAGGAATACTTATACACAATAGACTTGGCAGTGGTGTGAACTGTCAGTCAGCAGGTGATAGAACCAACAAGATACTATCACTCCTGAAAAGAAGTACTGAAGGAAATAAAATAGACCTCAATGATGACCCGTTCATGCTATGCAAAATCTAAACAAGGCTTTCCTGGGAAACTTGAAGATGACATTGTAGCCACCAGTTAGGTAAGGGTTCAATGCAACTTATAGCTTTTCCACATCGATTAAACACTAAGTTAGCTAACTAAGTTAGCAAATTGAAAGCACAGAATAATAGAGAATGTGATATTATGCTAAGTTGCCTCTTCTTTAGAACTAACTGACCAAACCATAAAACCTATCTAAAAACAGTATTTCTTCTCCACAACACTTTAGAATGTCAGTGCACGAGGGGCTGTCTGATAACCCTACTAGCAGAGAAGGTATGAACTTTAGCTCCATATGAGGGAATCGAAGTAAACAGACTAATACATGAACTGAAAGAACCAACAAGGAAGCTTCCTGCAAGTTTGTCTTAAAGCACTTTCTGCAACTCACCAGGAGAATTTATAGGGTTGGTATGGATTAGAATGTATCTGGGATGTAGGCAGAGTTCACAATTTGTCCAAATGGCCTTCTGGATTTGCATGCACAAGCCCTGGCTTAAAGTATTAAAAATTGCTTTTCCACATAAGCATGGGGCACAAGGCAGATGCATGGATTGACTGAAGCCTGTGAATCTGGAGCCATGATCTGGAATTCTGTGGCTTTACTCTACCAAACTGTGCAGCCTACCACTACGTGCCTTGATTGTTATTGCTCCAAAATTTTTATTTTTCACAATAAGGGCACCTACGTTTGAGTTGAACTGTTCTAGTAGGGTAGAATTTTTATTATTCTAAAAAAAAATATTTTAATACACATTGTGTATTTAAACAACTCAGAAATTAGCCTTGCATTAAGCTCCATACCACCACACTCAGAAGAAGAGCAGACATATGATGAACTGTTGTTGGAAGTGTCATTCTATGACAGTGTCATACAGAAAGCCTGAATTTCAGGTCATCTTTCTGCCAATATTTGTGTATGAAGATTACATGATTATGGACCTGTTTTCTAGATTTGACAAATCAAATCTACAAAACAGGTTGTGTCCAAAGTCAAAAGTCAAAGTTGTCATTTTATTAAGGCTACAACTCTTTTTTTAAAAGCCTGTTCTACAAGCCTATGTATCCATCAGTATCTGATTTATAGTTTACATTGCCAGAGCTCTCTCAGTTCAGGTTCGATGGATACAAGATAAGAACACAACTTGCTCTTACATATATTTAAAGCAATTTATAGCTATTTCTAGCATTCTGATGTGAAAATGGTCTGAAAATCTGCCTCTACAAATTTAGCATTATATTGATCTAGCTTTTGACGTCAATATGTTTTTATAGTAATTGTTGATTCGCGCACCATATGGCCACTTTTATTTGTGAAGATTTCTTCTGACAGTACTAATAAGAGCTGGCTAGAAATATTCCCCCTTTATAGAATTATGTAATTGAAGAACAGCTTGAAAGTGACAAACAGCTTATCACATGCATGTTTAGTTATTTCTTGCTTAATGGAATTTCATAGGGCCTATTGCACATGGATTAGAAAATAAACTGCAGTGATTTTCATTCGATTTATTGGGTAAAACAAGTCAAGGCTGGGACCATAATTACCGACTTTGTCAAATTGATTCATATTTGTATAAGATAAAAATTTTCTTACTGCAAATGTTTAATAATGTTCAATATATACCTAGTTTTGCTATTTATTTATTTATTTGTTTGTTTATATATTTATTTATTTTCAATATAACAGAAACAAGTACAGTCAATGAGCTGGATACAACAGCAGCTGCAGTACACTATATACCTGTTCAAACCTCAAAGTCACAAGTTCTATACTCAGCAGGGTCAAATCATTTCATGACCTGTTAAGATGAGTACCAATGAGGTCCGTAACATTAATTTATATAACCCAGGATGCACTTAAAAACTATATACAGCTAAATGTATCCTTCCTGATAAAATAGCTTTATGTTATTATTATTATTATTGAGTTTATTGTGGGTTATTTTTAAAAGACACATTTTGACCGTCCGTTCTACAATGTTTTATATAACTGCTCCATTTATGAAAATGGAAGAAATATACAAAAAAAACAAAAAAACATTTACAATGTAAAATTTTATAATGTTAAAAGAAAATTGTGTCCATTTTCTCTGCTTGATAAATTACTATTGTGACAAACCCCCTCGGTGTTCAGGAGGGAACGTATTTAGGGGATCAGACTCCTTCCCCATCACATCCTTCTTTAATATCAGTATCGTATTTGCATGACGTCTGCCTGTTACTGCCTTTCTCTGTTATGCTATTGATGATATGTATAAGTCTGTGTGCTTTAATTGTCTCTCATATTGCTCTATGACTGGTTTGGTTAAAGTTACACACAGTCATCAGTGATTAATTGATGTCAGAGACACTAATTAATCACCTATGAGACAGCCAATGAAAGTCCTCGGTTTAATAGCTGACATGCTTGCTCACATTAGCAGGTTAGAGACCATAACAAGGTGATATTATGCAGATATTGCAATCTTGCAACATGCTGTTCTAAGATGGAGCCTATTGTTTTACTTCAGTTACCTCATGACTAGCATTTAATCAAGTCTGCATTTTTTTTTTTGCATTTTATAAGATTTCACAGTCGTATTACAGGTATACAGGGTATGCGAGTTACATTCATGAGTACAACATAGAGAGTACAACTTTTGAGCAGCATGTATTGACAATGAGCTATCATATCTGTGCCTTGATGAGAGCCAGTTTGAAGCATACATATAATAGTGGTACTATAGGTACATCGTTAAACAAATTGTCATTAAACAGAGTGTCCTGGCATTGCTGTCGTGCCCGTATTTGTGTAGCTCTTCTTCTTGTCCATTAGTCGTGATGGTAGGAGTTTTCTCTTCGCTGTGCCAGTGTCGGTAATTGCTCAGTTGTAAAAATAACCCGTATCTTCCCTGACTCCTAGCTACTATTCCAGAGAACAGGGGAATATAAACTTGGGGCATAACCTGGGTATAATACGGGAAAAAAGAGAGGGGTAGAGGAGGGGAGGGGGGCAGGTATTGGTCCCTTAGCTTAGTCCAGCTTTTAGGCCTGTTCGTTGGCCTTAATAAATTGCACCAGTGTACGCAACCAGCTTAAGTAGGAGAGGGTAGTGTGTGCAGGCTTCCATATGGTCAAAGAGTGATGTTAAAGAAGGTTTAGGAAGGTTTGCTTAGTGCTCTTTCCTTAAAGCATTGACTTGTGAGCTACCACATAAAGGTGTTTAGAGTGTTTAAGTTGTCACTGCGTCTGTTGGCGTGTGTCCCATTTTTCCCACGCCTCCTTCCAAAATTTTTTGGGGGGATTGTTGGACCTGGCCATTATCTCATACTTCTTTATGGTTTCAATGTGGGTTATGCAGCTCTGTATGTTGGGGATCGTCTGCTTTTGCCAGTGTTTGCTGATATACAACAGAACTGCCGAGATAATGTGATATATTAAGTATCGGGATGATTTTGTATGGCCTGGTGGTATATACTGTAGGAGGTAATGTTCAGGGGTGTGTGCGAGAGCTACGCCTGTAATGTTTTTAATTAGGGTCTGTGTTTCCGTCCACAATGGTGTCAGGATTGGGCATTCCCACCAAATGTGTAGCATGGAACCTTGAGCTTTATTGCATCTCCAGCACAGTCCTGTATTCTTAGGTATCATATGTTTCAGTCGGGTTGGTACTAAGTACCAGCGATATAATAATTTCCTGGCTAGTTCCAGATGGGCTGTGCTAAGTGTAAGTTTTTTATTCTCACACAGTATATATGACCACTGCTCTTTTGTTAACTGTTTTCCTAGTTCAACTTCCCATGCTTTAACGAACTGTAGTGTATGCGGGTCTGGTACACTATAATGGCGATTGTACAGTATAGAGATTAGCTTGAGTGGCCTCTTCGTCTGTGTGCAGAGACTTTCTAATGCATTGAAAGTGTTCCACCTGTTTGCTGCAGGCAGTACTTTTCTATTTGTCTGCAGCCACGAGCTTATCTGTCTGTGCGCAAATGCTGCTGCATTGGGTAATTGGTATTTATTTTGCAGTCGGTTGAAGGGGATGATCTCTCCCTGATCAAACAACTGATGCAAATATATTAGACCTCTATTGCTCCAGGACGTTATGTTCAATGAAGGTATCAGTCCATAAAATGAATCTAGGAGGAAGGCTGGTGAGAGCCCCCCATCAAAACCTTGCTCCTTATTAAATCTGTCCCATTCTCGTAATGTTGTAGCTGTGAGTGGTGACATATCTTTATATTTTTTTCTAAGTTGTGGCGGTGTCCAGGCTAGGTGCGTTATTTTTTGCCCCCCAGTTAGGTCAGCCTCTACCGTTACCCAAGGGGATGGTTTGTCATGTTGGTGTAATTCGTTGACCAACGGTGCTAGTATAGCTGATCTGTAGTACGTGGCTATGTGTGGTAATCCCATTCCCCCTCCTTTATATGTGAGGTACATGATTTTTGCCGCTATTCTGGGTTTCTTATGGGACCAGACAAAGGTGTTAAATCAATTTTTGTGCGTCGTGAAGGAATGGTTTTGTGAGCCTAATTTGTAACGTACGGAACATGTATTGCAGTCTCGGGAGAATTTTCATTTTGACTGCTGCTATTCTACCTATCCATGATATGTATTTCCCTTTCCAATTCGCTAGCTGCTGTTTTATGGATGTGAGGAGTTTGCCGTAATTTTCCTGATGTAAGTTCCTTTCTAGTCTCGTGAATTTTATACCCAAGAAAGTTAGGTGGTCTTGTCTCCATTCATAATGGTATTTCTGTTGCAAGGCTGTATACAGCAATGCAGGTGCATGCAGACTCATTGCTTGCGTTTTAGAACTGTTTAATTTGTAATATGAGCAATTGCTGTACTGTTGCAGCAGATTCTGGAGTTCTGAGATAGAGGTGAGTGGGTCAGACAGGGAGAGCATTACGTCATCTGCAAACATCGTTATTTTGTATGTTTTATTTTTAATTTCCACACCTCTGATTTGGTTGTTATCCCGTATTGCTTGGGCTAATGGCTCTAACGCAAGAATGTATAAGGCCGGGGAGAGCGGGCATCCTTGCCGTGTTCCATTTGTGATAAGGAACGGCTTGGATACGAACCCGCCGTTCGCAACCTGTGCTGATGGCTTGGAGTATAGTGCTAAGAGTAGGGATAGGAATTGTTGTGGGAATGCAAATTTTTGTAGGACAGTTCTCAGGAAGTTCTAGTGTAGTCTGTCGAACGCCTTCTCGGCGTCCAGGGACATAAAGACCCTGGGCTCTCCGAGAGGCGTCCCATTATAGAGGAGGCTGTGGAGCTTCCTAGTCCCGTCAGTCCCCTGTCGCCCCCTTACAAATCCCACTTGGTCCGGGTGTGTAATAAAGGGGATTATGGCCGCTACACGATTGGCGTATATTTTGGCTAGTAGTTTCGTATCTGTGTTTAACAGTGAAATAGGTCTTAAATTTTTAGGTTACGTGGGTGGTTTCCCTGGCTTTGGTAGCGTGGCTATGTGTGCTAATAGCATTTCCGCTGGCATCTTCCCTGTGTGTACAATATGATTCAGTGTGTGTACTAGGTAGGGGCTCAGGATGTTCGAAAAGACTTTGTAGTAAGTGTTCGTGAAGCCATCTGGCCCGGGTGACTTCCCCGAAGGGAGTGAGCGAATCGTTTGCTGTAACTCTGTCAGTGTGATCGGTTCTATCAGGGAGTCCTGCTGTTGTTGTGTTAATTTTGGCAATTTTATCTGCGAGAGGAAGTTATCAATTTCCACTTGTGTTGGCTGATGTGTTTGGGGATCTTTTGTTAGGTTGTACAGGTTTTGGTAGTAGGCTGCTGTTTCTTCATTAATGTCTATGGGGTTGTATATTTTCTCTCCTGTGCTAGTGAGTAAATATGGTATTTTGGAGTGGGCTTGGTGATGCCTCAGTAAAGATGCTAATTTTTTCCCCGCTCTGTTTCCCTGGGTGTAATGCTTCAGTTTGAGTGTTTGTAGAGTGCGCGCTGTTTTTTGAAGTAGGAGATCATTTAATTGATTTGTAGTTTGTTCTATTTCAATGTCGAGGTCGGGGGTGGGGTGTAGCAACTGGGCTGCTTTTAGGTCACGCAGATTGGTCAGTAGTGTGAGGCGCGCCTGTTGAGAGGTCCTGTTTAGGAAGGACGCTCTGCTAATGAGCTGACCTCTAATCACTGCCTTATGTGCCTGCCAAGATGTAGTAGGTGATATGTCAGGTTGGTTGTTAAGTTGGAAATATCTATCTATCTCAGTCCCCAATTCCTTTTGAAAGGTGTCGTTGTATAGGAGGGTGTCATTTAATCGCCACGGGGCTTTCCCTCTGTGCTTGTGAGCACTGCATACATGATTTCTATTTTGTCATATCCTCCTGAGACCAAGCCCATTAACATGTGTCCTCTGTACTGTACAATTTGTTTACATGCATCTCCTTTTATTCTTTTGAGCTACTCTATCAATATCTGCTGTATTGTAAAGAGAACATCCTGCGCTTTCCAGTGATATGTCATGTGATAACAAACAAACACAAGGGCTCTGTGCTTAAAGCACTTAAAGGTACAATAAAGTGCAGTAAAGTGTAGAATATTTAGTTAAAGCAGCTTTCACACAATTGTAGGAACTCTCCATCCTACTATAACAGAATAAAATAAAAGTCACTATATGGTCAAAATGTACCAATAGTGACACGTGTTAAGCACTAAAGTGACTTGTAGCTTACCCCAAAGGGCTAAAATTATAGTCACAGTGATTGATGAGAGCCTGTTAGGTATAGGCTTAAATCACATTTGGGTTGGTGTATCAAGATGACACTCAACATTTTCTTCTCAAATGTATAAAGTAGATATCCTCATATAGATAAAGACAAAAAAGGGGGGAAGAGACAAGGGGGTACAGCCAGCCCTGTTGCATTAAATCCTGAAATAAGAGAGTATGATAAATCGCACAGGCACTCATCCATCACTGTGACTTCATTTTTAGCCCTTTGGGGTAAGTTACAACTCACTTTAGCGCTTAAAGGGACACTATAGTCACCAAAACAACTTTAGCATGATGAAGCAGTTTTCGTGTATAGATCATTTCCCTGCATTCTCACTGCTCAATTCTCTGCCATTTAGGAGTTAAATCTCTTTGTTTATGAACCCTAGTCACACCTCCCTGCATGTGACTTGCAAGGCCTTCCTAAACACTTCCTGTAAAAAGTAATTTACAGTTTATCCTTCCTTTTTTGAAAGTTCTGTTTAATTTAGATTTTCTTATCCCCTGCTATGTTAATAGCTTGCTAGACCATGGAAGAGCCTCCTGTATGTGATTAAAGTTCAATTTACAGAGAAAGAGATACAATTGTTTAAGATAAATTACATCTGATTGAAGCATGATCTATACACTAAAACTGCTTCATTAAGTTAAAGTTGTTTAGGATACTATAGCGTTCCTTTAACCCCTGTCACTATTGGTGCATTTTTCCCATATTGTGACTATTCTTTTAATATGTCATGTGATAGGCTGGGATGCTGGGAACTTCCTCTTTCTTTTTCATCAAGAATGGAAAAAAATCGGAAGACATTTTTTTACCTTGGTTCCCAAGATGATATAACTTAATAACAGAAACAAATACTTTCCTTTAATATTTACAGCTTTATAAATGAGCTTTTAAAAGGGCATTCCTTGTACTATAGTTACGAGCAGGCAATATATACAGAATAAGTATTGAAGATTGTTATGATCCTCATTACTTTCTGCTTTTTGTCAGATAGGCTATAGTGAATATATGTCCGTACAGTCATTACCGTGTATGTGCATTATTTCTCAGTAGCAATGAATGGAGTCCACTCATGCCTTTCAAGGTTGTCCATGCAAACTTCACACATACATGAATGACATTCATTTCAAGGGAAACAAAGAGATACCTAACTCTAGACTGCAAAAAAAACGTGATAATGACCTATTGAAAACCTGCAAAAATACAGCCATTTAAAAAATTCTTTGTGAATCTGAATTGTTGGTATCTTGATCTTGGCTTTTCCCTGGTTATTCCGAATTCTGGTTCCCCTGACTTGGCTTGTTTTAACGGTATCTGAGTATTTCTGGCTTCCTTGACCTCGGCTTTTCCTTTGACCATTCTCTATCTCTAGTATATTACTCCGGCCATTCTAAGCTCCGGTTTATGCTCTGTCCTTTTATTTCCTTTCCATTTTTATGTATATGTTTACATAGTTTCTGCATGTTGGACCACACTAGCAGCTGTGACACTTGGGTGTGGTAAGCCAATTATCTCCAGCATACAGAAAATATCTCCATTTACAACAGTAAAAACATATAAAAATACATAATTACTATCATACTGAACAGAACCCCCACATTCAACCTATCCCCAGATAGCTTGGATCTGAGCACTCACTACATCCAAACAGCGCTCAGATCCCACAAACACAGTCAAATCGCCATGGGGTTAAAGTTTAGCAACAAGTTCCAACTGGTCTGGCAGTGTCACTGGGACAACGCCCTGCTGGAGAACAATAGACAGGAAATGGGGGAGGGGCACACCTCATGTATTCAAAGGGGCAGAAAAAGTGTTTCAAAATCCAATAAGCCCAAATAATGCTTACACAGGGCAAAGTCTCCCAGGGACCATAATCACATGGCAAGAGGCTGGCAAGTAGTCCTCTCCAGGCACAAGTGGCGAAGGGCACTTCTTCACACCTTGCATCTCATAGTGAGAGTGAACATCCTTGGAGTGAGCATGCTCTGTCTTGATACTATATGTTTGGATCTGTGTGCTGTTTGTAGGGAGTTGACGTACACATAAATGTTACTTTGTCACTCTCTCTATCTTATGGATCTGAGAATTTGACTTGATCTCCCCAAATGGCTTATTTTGTTGGGGAGGGGTTTTGTGTTTTTAAGAGAAATTTAAATTTGAACCATGAGCAGGTGAGAAACCTCTGAATTGAAATTATTGATATTTGATGAAACTTGATTGTAATCTATTAATGGAGTTCTCAATCATTTATTTATTTTTATTTTAAAATTCTAATTGTCCCCACGGAACCACATGAGTTTATTTGCAGAATTTGACTAATGCTAAGTTCAGGGATTCAGATGCGAGTAGCAGCTTGTAAAATCATATTTACTGTAACATTGAGCTTTTGGTAATTATTTACAACACAATGACTGGAACAAATGTATATTATGTGCAATCAATCATGCAAAAGTTTATTTTAAGCAATTAATCACTATGTAAATATCTATTTTAGTTATGTGCCAGCACGTCTCTACTTTCCAATCTTTAATGCCTCCCTATTCTCTGGGGAGCCTGTTTTAGAGCATCCCTATATTTAGTGTCACTAATAAGTAGGTAGAAAACCTATTATGAGGCCAAATGCTGCTCCCTCTTTACTGTCCTAATATCCATCTTTTTTATCAGCCTCTCAATTTTTGATGAGTAAAGTACAATCATTTGTTTTGAGATTAGTATCTTTAAATTAGATACTTTGGGTTTGTCCTAAATTAAATTTTCAGTTTCATTAAAGGTTATCATTAGATTAGAAAATCTTACTCTACTTAAAATTAAATATCCAAACTGGGCCTTTTGGATTTTTTTGTCAGGTATGCTATGTTTGCTACCGTGCGATAACCACAACATCAACAGGGTGTTATGGGATTTCACTAAATCTCCTCTGCTCCTCTTTGTGTTTACTGAAGTGAGTGTTTGCATACTACATGACACACTTTCCATTGTCTTGGATCAGTCGTTATGGCATGGTCAAGATTTTCTATAACTTCTTCCTGGTCATGATCTTGGTAACTTCTTCATCATCTTCATGGTCATACACTTCTGTTACTTCTTCATCTTCAGCTTCTTCGTGGTCACAATCTCTGTAACTCCCACCAATCTTGAACAGGCCGATAGATTTTTGTCTAGGTGCTGCTCTAAGATTAAATGGGTCCCAGCCCTAGCTTGAAAATTAATTAATATAAATTATGCATAACACTGAAGCATTTGGAACCCAATCCACCTCCACCACTCTAGAACCCGCTATGGAATTATTCTCCTTTATAATACACGTCACCATTATGTATCCTTTGTATACAAATACTTTTCTAATTTTCTTTGGACAGATCATATTTTAAAATGTTTTGGTGCATGAAATGGTAACAATTTGTGCAACTATATTCCATAACGGATGTGGAAAAAATGTACGATTTGGCAGTGTGCACTACAGGTGCGAATATGATAAATGAGCGTGTGATTACCATCATGTTTGGTCAAGTGTGACTTCTATATCATGGCAATATACCATGATGTCAGAATGTCACAGATGCCTCAGATATCACTTCATTCTAATGGTATGGGAGTTACACTACGAAATTCCATATATACTCTGGAATTCCACATCTGCTTAACCTTCGGTCTTGTGGTTTATTATGATGTCTTGTTGGCATTATTTTACCATCCTAAATAGTTAACTGCTATGTATCTTCTTTTTATGTCATAGAAGGCATGGCTTTTGTATCACAGAACATATGTCAGTGTCAAAAAAGTGCTCTTATGAATGTTTTGCTTGGAATGTTTTATAGGTGTTAAATGTATAGATAATCAGTGAACCCAATCAATTGCCATATGGTTGCTGATGACATAAATAACGTTAATTAAGGAAACCGAAGCAAATGTGTATCGAGCCGACGTGATGCTAATTAAGCGACACCAACACAAGCCGCAATGAACGCTCTATCAGTTTTCCAGTCCACTGCAAAAGGAAATTAGAACAGTCAATTATGTCACCAGTTTGCAAACTGCCTGAAGGTCTTCTTTAAAGAGAAATTCACTGACAGGTATCGACTGTTTGTAGCAGTCGTTGGTGTTAAATACAATAATGAAATAATACAGTGAAGATAATTCTAATAATTATAGACATGGAGTGAATGCCTTCCCCACTAACATTAGCCCAGACTTAACCCATTATGATATTGCACTGGATCTGGTTATAACAAACAATGTTGATCTTTTAAAAAACATCCAATTAGAGGAGTTCTTCGGAAATAGTGATCACAGTAT